GGGCAGTGGGCATTGTTCTTTCGTGCCAAACACTCCAAGAAACATTAGAATGCATCACACTGACATTCTAATGTAAAAAAAGAAGAATATAACTAAAGATTAGGCTGTATGGGCATTGTTCCCTTTACCTTCCCTGAAAAGGGAGAATTTTAAATAATATTGACGTTTCATTATACATAACGTTGAAATTTTAAACGCATACAATTTAGGTAAAGTTGAGATTTCTTATACTCAAAAAATGTATACTCATATTTAATATGAATGGAATTCATAAAATATAAAATATCATTTTGTTGCTTGTAAAATTCTGCTCTAATTTATTATTATTTTATATAGACTATGATATTAACTTAATCGAGAAAAACGGAACGCTTTCGGCAGTGAAAGAATATCTACGATAGATATAATATCATTGGAATATCGAAAATCCACGAGAATAGCATTTTTTACCATCAGTAGATATTTTCAATAGATATCCCTACTTTCGATATTATCTCGAAGCCGATATAATATCTACGCCGCGAGAATTGGGTCCCAGAATCGACACCATTGTTTACCTACTTCTTTATTTACTAATTATTTATGAAGGCAGTTAACAACATCTTGAGGTAACAATAATTGGCAAAGACACACGACAACACAATAAATAATAGGTAAAAAAAGTGGAAATAACAAGATTGACATGCCAAGATCCATAGATATTTATATATCGAAGGCTCTTTACCAGTCGATGTATGTCTACTGATCATCCGTAGATAAATATCTATTGCGACATGGTGAGAATAGGGCAAAAAGGTTTTCCTTCGATAAAAGCCAGATCATTCGATATATATCGAAGGTGATATAATATGGATCTTGGCATGTCAATCTTGTTATTTCCACTTTTTTTACCTATTATTTATTGTGTTGTCGTGTGTCTTTGCCAATTATTGTTACCTCAAGATGTTGTTAACTGCCTTCATAAATAATTAGTAAATAAAGAAGTAGCTAAACAAAGGTGTCGATTCTGGCGTGATTCTCTAAACTTAAAACTAAATTTATTATCAGTCTCTCTTTTTCATTCTGTATAGAGAATGACAAGGAAACACTGTTGTCAAGATTAAGTTTAGATTTAGAGAATCGTGCCAGAATCGACACCAGTTTATATTAACGATGGATGAGTTGATTCATGTTTTCGTCAATGATTTAATAAATGACGTGATTGCTGCTGCTGTGCTAAGGCGCCGCCGTTGTGAGAGCAAGAGGGCCCATTTGAAATGAGGGACGCGGACTTCATAAAAAAATTTCGTTAGAAATCTTTAAAGTTATGAATGACATTGGTATCGATTCTGACAAGATTCTCTAAACTTAAAACTAAATTTAACATCATTCTCTCCTTTTCATTCTGTATGGAGAATGACAAGGATACACTGTTGTCAAATTTACGTTTAGGTTTAGAGAATCATGCCAGAATCGACACCATTTTCTTATTGACGATACGGAGTTTTGGCGGGATTTCTGCGAGTGCGGTTGGCATCTTATTTTAATTATTCTAAAATTCGTTCATAGTGGATATTGTGAAATAAAATTGGTGTGGTTTGGTGTTACAACCGTCTGCGCAACTAAAGAATTAGTGGAATCTTATACGAAAAAAATATACGCTATTCCGGTCAAGTGGACGCGAGAACTTTATTGTAGTGTTGACTACCTCACAGAAGCTTAGAGAAAAAGCCAACTCCATAAATTTCGTGCCAAACACTCCAAGAAAGATTAGAATGCGTCACACCGACATTCGAATGTAATAAAAAGAAGATTAATATAACTAAAGACTAGGCTTTATGGGCATTGTTCCCTTTGCCTTCCCTGAAAAGGGAGAATTTTAAATAATATTGACGTTTCATTATACATAACGTTGAAATTATATACGCATACAATTTAGGTAAAGTTGAGATTTCTTATACTCAAAAAATGTATACACATATTTAATATGAATGGAATTCATAAAATATCATTTTGTTGCTTGTAAAATTCTGCTCTAATTTATTATTATTTTATATAGACTATGATGTTAACTTAATCGAGAAAAACGGAACGCATTCGGCAGTGAAAGAATATCTACGATAGATATAATATCATTGGAATATCGAAAATCCACGAGAATAGCATTTTTTACCATCAGTAGATATTTTCAATAGATATCCCTACTTTCGATATTATCTCGAAGCCGATATAATATCTACGCCGCGAGAATTGGGCCCCTGATCGCAAGAAGGGAAAGAGAAAGTTTTCAATAAGTCAATTTGAATAAAGTATAATTTCATTTCATTCACTTCATTAAATTCACATTTTAAGGCAAAGAAACCAAATAAAAAATTTGCGCAACACATTTATTGACGCCTTTAGTACACTGACCCGGCGAAACGCTAAACTTCGGTAATCTGACATCGCCTATGTTCCGCCTTTTCTCTCGTTCTCAGTGGTTTCCTATAATATAGTTTCAAAGAAACCAAATAAAAAGATGCAAAACATTATTTACGTCTTCAGCACATTGACGCGGCGAAAATGCGATTCAACTAAGAATAGGACCGTCTTGGCGCCATATTGTGACGTCATAGCTGTCAATTCAAACATAATGGTAGAGCGAGCAAAACAAAGTTTTTATATAATAAATCTTATTAACTAAGATTAAGTGAGAAAAAACATCCGATTTTTAATAACATTTATTTATTAAGACTGTGAGAAAAAACATTAATCAGAATCTATCGCCGGAGTAGTTATGTGTAATCATGCACTATTACTAGGTCACATATAAACATTATATCCTTTATGTAAACGAAAGTTTTAAATCGAGTTTCTGAATGCAACTTAAAGTGACATTTGGTTGACGATTATGGTTATCAACCATTCACAGCCAAAGCTCAATAAATGATAAAAAAAATATCAACCAATATTAATTATCAATATTTGTTATGGTTTACTTACAAATGTTTGGTTTTATTCTAGAATTAGCTGAGTGCAAAAAAGAGTTCCAACATTTTTTGAAACATTGGCTTTTCTATTCTTATTTGAATCGCACTATACGTAGCGAAACTGTGTTAATCTGAAATCGCGTATGTTGCGTTTCGATGTATCTGTCCGTCATTTTTCCTATAATTGCATCTCTGACAGATTATACCACAGTTTTGCTATCGCGTTTCGTCGCGTCGGTGACTTGGTGTAATAATAATTATTTATTAAAACTACTAATACTAATTACTATAAATATAATATATATTAATTCTCTATAGCCGCGAAATGACTAAGAGGACGTAACGTTTTTGCCGCGCGAGGCTGCCTTTACTCTTTTATGTAAATCTGCCTTTTTAACATTCATTAACTTCATTTGATGTTTGAAAAATTACTTGCTGTTTACGCCATTAGACTTTGATTTATTAGACGCTGATTGTATATTTTTTCAATGAATCTCACTGATACATATTTATTTTTACTGCTCCGTTAAATATTGATGTTATACATAATATATATATTGCAAGTATTAAACTGCTAGATGTTTAAATCTAAAGGAAATTTTACTAGAAAAAATTCGACACTGACCAGGCAGCGGACGCGACTTGAACCCGCACCATCCGCTATCCGGGCAGATGCACTGACCATTACTCTACCGTGGCCCTAATGGCCGTGTCGAATTCTTTCTAGTATTTCTTAGGCGGCAAGACAGCGCCATCTCTTCGCATTGTAGGTCACCCACAGTGTCAAACGAAAACAATTACAAGATGATGATCATAGTCATCATAATCATAATTCTGACGACGCAGCCTGAAAAGGATGCGAAACGTCATAAATAAATAAATCAGTGCATCTATACTGTTGAAACTTGTTTTATTTAATGAATTGTGTGCGTAGAAACCTAAGAAACAAGTATTAAACATTTGAAAGAAGAAATAGCAATTGTATAGTCTGTTTCAAATACGATGATACGCCTGACATATCCATAGAACGTAAATGTTTGCGTTAAAGAAAAATTTGTCTACCATAAAAATACAAATTTTAATATTAAAGAAATAAATCAACACTTAATACTGTACATTAATAACGATATAATAAGATTCACGATGTTTTTGTTTTGGTTTAGAAAAATTTCATATCCATTTTTTATTTAAATGTTTATAAATATGAGACTTAACAAGGTTACGTTCTATGATCCTTAAAACCAGAGATGTGACTTAGGTTTTATTATATAATCGATTAAAATCGTGAATAATCGCAACTCGAAGAAAATAATAGTGTATTATTCGTCAAGCTTTTATTGTGTATGAAAAATTGTACCGAGAATTTTTAATCGAAATTCACAATTTACAAAATTAACACATTTTTAATTAACAAACACGAAAAATACGGGGCGGTGACGATATCATGTCGTGGTCGTAATTTTAAATTATTAAACTTAACTCTTCACCCCGGGTCGGCCCCCGTCCCCGCGAGCGCATGCTTACAGTGTTGATCTTCAGACAGTGATGAAACGACGTTAGAAAGTGATATTGGTTGTAGTATATTAGAGTAATAAAGTAATCCATTAAATAGATTTTTGTTTGTTTCATTACATTATAATTTGGTAGGAATTTTAATATATTTATACAATGAATATATGGTTTATTTGCATTAAATAATGGCAATCACATAGTACAAAAATTATATAATTAAATTTTATTATATTTTAGTCTAATTATTAGAAAAGTATAACTTCTCAAAAAGTAATAAACATCATTTAAAATTATTTTCCTCTCCTCAGGAAACCGACTTGAATATTCAATATCTAACTAGAAATAACTAAAATTTAATATACAGTATAAATCTTTATTTTGAATCGATTGTCATAAGTACTAAGATATAATCGATAGTCGATTGGATATGCAGGGTGTCACATAAAGTCACGTCTCTATAACTGTCCATACCATCGTATTTGAAATAGACTATAGTTATATATTTTTTGTATATTGATGTTCCAACATTCCTTGTTGCAGGGAATTGAACCTACGAGCGCCCATATACCAGAAGACGAGTACATACGGCCACTTTGGCCGCGAAGGCTTCCCGTGGGAGAATCCGAAGCCGCTCGTCGTAGAATGACTTGTGACGTGTTAACTAGTAGTTCATTGTAAATATTTCAACCAGTATATCCTAAATACACTTAGTCTACGTGTGTCTTTGTAGCCAGCGAGGGTTGTCATCGCAGACTCTCTATCTAGACGGTATGTTAAATCATTCGAGTCTGGTCGTGAAAGTTTTCCAGCTAGATTCAATGTAATTTTTAAGTATTCACTATAATTAGACGCGTAGGTTTATCATGGTGCCGTCATTGCTGAATTTGAGTTAGTTCGGGGTTCCAAACGGCAGTCCCATTCCATCAATTTATTTGTTTATTGAGGCTGATCAATTTGCCCTTTTGTGATGTTTATTATTACACTGCCTGTTGTATATTTTATTTTATCAGTATGAATTATCCAGTGAGCATGATTTGATTATGTGATTATTATTATTGATCGGGCATTTTTTTTATTGTGAAATGATTTTAACATTTTGATACTTACACCTAGTTGAATGATGGACTGCCTCCAATCTCGAATCGTTTTTCGTGAGCTTTATGAAATAAGTGCTATGATTTCGGTAGAGTCGACTACTACCCTGGTCGCGTCACAGTCGAGCGAAGAGGACAGAGAACATTATATGTTTCTCTCTTCCTCGCTCACTGCAAATATAGTGGTGCGATAGCGGCGTTCATAGATTCCCTTCCTATTTTAGTAGTTGATAAGTGTCAGTGAGTTGCCTCGTATGTAATTAAAATAAAATTGTTACGTCGCTTCCGCATCACAATTTGTGTTGTGTTTCCGAAAAGGATACAATGTGGAAAAGAGCCATTTTGAAAACACACCGACTCGGCCCGGGCAGTAGTAAGCTGCATTTATCCGAGAGTAATACTGTAATACCGCCGGTAGGTAAACTCTAACCGTACATACATTTTATGACATTAGAAGTTAACTTAGAATTTTATCTATTACGTAGGGCGGTTAGTAATAACTTCGACTATATTTTTTTGATCTGTTTCGATTGTGACCTGTTAAGTTTTTCTGATTTACTTCTGTGGATTATCGATTTGCCAGATTGTGTAATTTTAAAACTAATAAACGATATTCCCGGTGATAACGGGCTGTAAATAATTGTTTTATTATTTTTCTATTTTGTTTGATTTATGAATTGTCTTTATATCTTTACCATTTTTTTGTTAAAGATATAAAGACGCTCTTTTCCTACACAATATTACAACTTAGGGATAGAAGCTCTTATCCAACACAATATACTTTGGGATAAAAGCAATTTATGAGCTGTATTTTTTTATTCTTGAGGTTTCGGATTCTTTTCATACATGCTCCATGATTGCAAGAGATTTTCGCAGCCTGTAACTTATTAAGCTTATCTATCAAAATGAACGCTTTTAAAGTGTTTAATTTGAGACAGGTAAGGCATTACACTACGCTTAAATTACAGCGCCATCTGAGTAGTAACCTCCCCTTAACAGAAAAAAAATCGCTTAACGCTGTTAGGGATGAAACGATACCATCTAGGTATCGATACTTTTCTCGATACTATATCGGTCATAAAGTATCAATGTCTACTTACCTACGATACATTTTAACGAACGATATTACAAATTCGGTCACAGTTTTAATTAAAGGAAAACAAAATAACGGCTCTCGCCACGTGATGAACGAATGACTAACTGAATAAATTGAAATAATTGCGGGAACAAAAATTCCAACTAGACACCTCACCATAGAGTAAATAATCTGCATGTGAGACTGTGAGTTTTTTTGATACTTCTCAGTGAGTGACCGACCGAGTACCGATACAAGTACTTCACGATACGACTTGTTACTCAGTTCTAAAGTATCGATTTCAAAAGTACTTGGTATCGAGTAGTTACTTGTATTTACTCGTATCGTTTCATCCCTATACGCTGTATCTATACAGGACAAGCCTAAACACTATTGTTTAGCGTGGTGTGAACATGAAGTAGGTCCTATGAAAATAAAAGGTACGTGATATATAATATGACCTCATAGAGCCCGTATAAACTTGACTATACTAGACAAGGAACTTACTTTCTTGATATTGATTTAGCGTCGCACAGCAGTTCCCGGTAGAATTAGCATGGCAACAGTTTGACTAAATTGAACCTTTGACAAAATTATTTGTGCCATACTATAACATTTTTATGGACTATTGATTTGATTTGAATTCGATTGGCGTCACAATACAAAATCAAGATAACTTTGTATTTGGACCTGGAAGTTATTTATATATTGAAGCCAAGGAATAAGAAATGATATAGAAGCATTAAACCCGCTCAGTTGAAAATAGGCGCTCTTAGGCTTACGGAATGAGCGTCCTGAAAATATCTGCCGTAATATAATTAACCGCTTAAGGCGTTGAGCAGACGACGGGGCGGGGCGGGCATTTTGTCCGCGAAGCAATAAAGACCGGGTCTGCCCGCGCCGCGTACACAAAGCACACGACGGGCAGAGGCGGTCAGACTAACAAGCGCGTGGCGCGAACTGAGCTGACCGCCCCGCGCCGCCGTCTGCGTTACTGCTTAAAAACTGGTTTGTATGATCCACGGCGGGCAGCCGCGGACATGCCTTTTTGCCCTCTGTGTGCGTTTTGAAGGGGTGTAAGGGGTTCTAAATACACCTGCAAGAACCCAAGCCAACCTCACCTTCACGCGGTGCACCCTGTTGACCAACAGACGAGGCTCTGGCAAACCGACCGATGGCGGTATAACCATCCAACGACGTAGGGGAGGGAAATCTCACTGGTGACGGGCAGCAGCGTCATCAGTGAATTAACCTACGTTCTGCGATCGCCAACCCGCCTGCCCAGCGTGGCGATTATGGGCAAAACCTTCAATGCAAACAAACCACAAGCCACGGCCCCCAGTTCCCGGCAGCTCCGCTATTCCTGGTCACGGTGACGACCACGGTGACGGCGGGGCAGGGGGTGCCAGAATCTCCGGGCTACGGGAGGCCACCACAATAGACTGACCCTGGCAACGTACAACGGACGCACGCTTCGGCTTGACTCGCATCTGGCGCAACTCGAGGTGGAACTTGGGAAGATTAGGTGGCACATTTTAGGGTTAAGTGAAGTCCGAAGAGAGGGGGAGGACACCATAACGCTCGAATCGGGCCACCTAATGTACTTCCGTGGGGGAGACCAACAGTCCCAAGGTGGCGTTGGGTTTTTGGTGAATAAGTCCCTTGCCGATAACGTTGTGGAAATGTCCAGCGTGTCGAACAGGGTTGTGTACCTCATTATAAAGCTCACCGAGAGGTATAGCCTCAAGGTGGTACAAGTGTATGCACCGACCTCGACACACTCTGACGACGAAGTGGAGGATATGTTCGATGATATATCGAGGGCCCTCCACTCCACTACTAAGACCCACTACAACGTTGTTATGGGTGACTTCAACGCTAAAGTGGGAGTACAGAATTGCAGCGAATCGGTAGTAGGATTCCATGGATTTGGAAGCAGAAATCATAGGGGGCAAATGCTCGTCAACTTCTTCGAACGGGAAGGGCTCTTCTTGATGAACTCTTTCTTTAAGAAACAGCCCCAAAGGAAGTGGACGTGGCAAAGCCCCGACACTATGACTAAAAATGAGATCGATTTCATCATGACGGACAAGAGGTATATATTCAGAGACGTCTCCGTGATCAACAGGTTCAATACAGGTAGTGATCACCGACTCGTCCGGGGTTCTCTGAATATCAACTTTAAGGCCGAGCGCGTCCGTTTGATGAAATCCAGGCTCCGACCTACTCTGCTCCAATCTATAACAGGATCTGAAACGTTCCAGTCAAATCTGGAGAACCGATTTGCTGCCGTGGAAACCACATCAGACGTAAACCAAAACCTCGAAAATGTGGTTCGGATCCTCAGGGAAGAGGGTACGAGATTATGTGCAACGCAGCGTAAGGGTAGGAAGTCAAAGCTTTCCGAAGAGACTTTAGGGTTAATGAAGGAACGACGTGAAAATCTACCCGTCACTTCGTCAGCAAAGCGGACTCTAAACCAAGAGATCAGTAAGCACGTACGACATGACCTCCGGTGCTCCAATACTCTCTCGATCGAGAGAGCGATCGAGCAGAATCGAGGGTCCAAAGTGTTCGTACAATCTCTTGGAAGAAGTCATCTGACGAAGTTGACCACACCAAGTGGGGAAGTTGTTGCTTCAAAGCCGGCAGTCCTTTCGGAAGTGGAAGACTTCTACGGCCAGTTGTACGCATCACATGCATCTCGACCAGATCCCGGAAATGAGGATTCTAGAGCCACATTAACGCGTCACTTCACCGAAGACCTGCCAGAAGTCAGTATTGGCGAAATTGAGATTGCTCTTGGGCAGCTTAAAAATGGAAAAGCCCCTGGAGAGGATGGTGTTACAACAGAACTCTTGAAAGCTTGAGGCAAACCCGTACTGAGGGAGCTCCAAAAGCTTTTTAACACTGTCCTGTTCGAAGGGAGAACTCCGGAGATGTGGAGTAGGAGTGTGGTCGTCTTGTTCTTTAAAAAGGGGGACAAGACCCTACTCAAGAACTATCGACCCATATCCCTTCTAAGCCACGTCTATAAGCTGTTCTCAAGAGTGATCACGAACCGTCTGGCGCGAAGACTTGATGACTTCCAACCACCGGAACAGGCTGGATTTCGGAGCGGATACGGCACCATAGACCACATCCACGCAGTACGGCAGATTATAAAGAAGACTGAAGAGTACAATCAGCCTCTGTGCCTAGCATTTGTGGACTATGAGAAGGCCTTTGACTCGATTGAAATCTGGTCTGTCCTGGAGTCCCTGCAGCGTTGCCAAGTCGACTGGCGATACATCCAAGTGATTAGATGTCTCTACGAAGCCGCCACCATGTCTGTCCAAGTACAGAATCAGCAAACAAGTCCCATACCGTTGCATCGTGGAGTGAGACAAGGGGACGTTATTTCCCCGAAATTGTTCACTAATGCAATGGAGGATATGTTCAAGACGCTGAACTGGAAAGGACATGGCATCAACATCAATGGCGAACGCATCTCTCACTTGCGATTTGCAGACGACATCGTCATCATGGCAGAAACCCTGCAGGACCTACAAAAAATGCTGAATGACCTAGCTGACTCTTCCATACGCATCGGCCTACGGATGAACTTGGATAAAACCAAGGTCATGTTCAATGAACATGTTCTACCGGAACCGATTGCAATACACGGTGCCGTTCTCGAAGTTGTTCAAAAATATGTACACCTCGGGCAGACATTGCAGTTAGGTAGAAACAACTTTGAGGACGAGGTGAATAGAAGAATTCGGCTGGGTTGGGCAGCGTTTGGGAAGCTACGTCAAGTCTTGACATCGTCGATCCCACAGTGCCTAAAGACGAAAGTCTTCAATCAGTGCGTCCTACCTGTGATGACATACGGAGCCGAGACGTGGACACTGATGGTACGGCTGGTCCACAGGTTCAAAGTCGCTCAGCGCGCTATGGAAAGGGCTATGCTCGGCGTTTCTCTGAAAGATCGCATCAGAAATGAGGTAATCCGACAGAGAACCAGAGTTATCGACATAGCCCACCGGATTAGTAAGCTGAAGTGGCAGTGGGCTGGCCATATTTGCCGAAGAACCGATAACCGTTGGGGTAGACGAGTTCTGGAGTGGAGACCGCGTCTAGGCAAACGTAGTGTAGGACGTCCTCAGGCACGGTGGAGTGACGATTTGCGCAAGGTGGCTGGCAGGAGCTGGATGCGAGTAGCCCAAAATCGATCTGAGTGGCGTGCAATTGGAGAGGCCTATGTCCAGCAGTGGACTAGGATAGGCTGCTGATGATGATGATGTACGTTTGAAGTATAGGATTCACTTTGTGCTATTATTCGCGGCGAAATTGTCCGGCCCGCCCCGCCCCGTCGTCTGCAAAGTGCCTTAATCCTACTAATATTATAAATGTGGAAGTTTGTATGTTTGTTACTCAATCACGCAAAAACTACTGAACGGATTAGGATGAAATTTGGCCACATATAGTTGATGACCTGGATGAGACTTAAGATACTTTTTATCCCGCTAAAATGTTAGGTTCCTGAGGGATTCTCCACAAACTAACTACGGCGCATATAAAATCGTATGATGCGCTACTCTGTACATAGCTTATATTTGCATAAAAATAATTTACGGGGCTAAGAATGAGCAGAAGTCTTTAGAAAGATTGTATAATGTTGTTTTTAATTTTTAGTTGTATAACGCTTATCCTTTGAAATCGTGTCAATTTGTTGCCCCGCCAACTTGATCGCAGTTTGCGTAGAACCACTTTAAAAGCATATTTCGTATTTCTAATTCGTTGATTGAATATGTGCAATTTCTACATGTTTTCTTTAAAAGCAAAAATATAAGCAGACTATTATGAAGTTATATAATTCAGACATATAAAGTATATTGCATTTATTTTTCATAATAAATTAGAATGAATTTCTTCACTACGATGATAGCCATCGTGCAACTATCCTTCTTGCGATTTGTTTGACCTGCGCCATTCTGATCGTATCTGTTTGCAACTCGCCCAGCATATCGAAGCAATGTGATGCCCTGTAAACAAATATTTTTTTCCAAAACACACAGCAATTAGCCTTGTCCAAAAGTAAACCCTGTAAGGCTTGTTCAAGAGTGGCGCTGATTGTTAGCGCATAGCTGTCAGCGGCAACTTGTTTTTAACCGACTTCAAAAAAGTAGGAGGTTCTGTGTTCGACTGTGTATTTTAGTGTTATGCTGTCCTGT